TTTTCTTTCTTTTTTTAAATAATCTTTTATTGTGTTTCAGTGAAGGTTCACACAGCAGTTTAGGTTCCTGTTCAACAATTTCTACACAAGTGTTCAGTGACATTGGTTACATTTTTCACAATTTGTGAATATTTTCAACGTTTCCATTCTGGTTGTTCCATTTTCCATAGGGTTTTCAATGGCTGGTTTTTTGGAAGTAGATCTCCAGGCCTTTCTTCTGAGGCTCCTCTGGGTGGACTTGAACAGCCAACCTTTGGGTTAGCAGCCTAGCATGTTACTCATTTGTACCACCCAGGAGTTCCCGGACACATGCTGCTATTGCTGTTAGTTGCCATTGAGTAGATTCTGACTCACGGCGCCCCCATGTGTGCAGAGTAGAACTGCTCCATAGGGTTTTCAACGCTGTGACCTCTCAGAAGCAGATCACCAGGCCTATCTTCTGAGGTGCCTCTGGGTGGGTTCGACCATACCAGGTACTAAAAGACATGGAAAGATGATAAAGACATGGGCCTACCGTCCGTGTCTTCCCTATATTATCTAAAGTTCCATGACATCTTGGCTTGGTTGATTCACACCCCAAGAGGACTGCCAACTGCATGAGCTATTTCCACTAATAAGAACTCCAGCTGGGTGGAGGGGAGCAGGCATGTTGCTGTTTTGCTAAGCTCTACTGCCTCGGATAATCTCTTGCTGTTTGTAACCGTTGAAGCAACTGATTTACTATCATCCCCAAAGGCGCACAGTCTCTCAGACCCTTTTCCACCCAGGAACGGAAAGCACCTCCAGGCAGGTGTCTGGGATGTCAGTGCCCACGTGTTTGGAGAATGCTGGATGCGTACTTCCACCATGGAGTGGAGTCCTCCTACCATGTCACTGTCAGCTCTCCACACCTGCCATGACTGATGGGTCTCACTGCCAAAGTAAGCCCCATGCCTCACTCTGACCCACAGGGGGCCAATCCAAGTCACCACATCCTTATCCCTGCGGTTGCTTGTATTATCTGCAGAGAACACAGGCTCAGTGCACCTAGCTCTCAACCCAACGCACCGCCATGAGACCGGGCATCAATCTGGACGCTTCCAGGGCAGAAAGACTTCATGTCCACATACTTCAGACTGTGATGTCATGCAACCCTCTGTCCCACTAACACACGTGGGTACAGGATGCACTTCTGATCAATAAGTCTTGATTGATGTTCTCATTTTAATAATGACTGCCTACCCATTTTCTCCACCCTCTGTCTGTCAGCTTATCCTACTGTGGTGGCTTGCAATTCCAGACTGGCTTCAGTTCTGAATTAGTAGGGTGTCTGGGGGGCCATAATCTTGGGGGTTCCTCCAGTCTCTGTCAGATCAGTAAATCTGGTCTTTTTTTTTTTGGAGGGGGCGGAATTTGAATTTTGTGCTACATTTCTCTCCTGCTTTGTCCAGGACCCTGTGTTGTGACCCCTGTCTGAGTGGTTGCATTTTGCATTGTTATCCTTTTCTGGAGGCACGTGGTGTGACGTGTGAGCCCTTGGTATGACGAAGCCCAGGAATGGCCCTGATAGTTGCCACTGTTGTCTCTTCTCTGCTGGACTCCTGTGGTTCCCCGTAGTCTCGGACCTCTCACATCATGCACTCTTAAGAAAGACTGGTTGCTGGAACTCCATCTCTAAGGACATACAGAGCGTCACGTGGAGAAAAGCCACTTCTGGTCTTTCACCGCTCCTGAGAATAAGGGTGAGGACTGGGATCTTATGCTGAGCGGAAATAACAGCTGGGCAAAATGAATTTGGAGTCCCTGGGTAGCACAACAGTTAACCAAAATGTTGGCCATTCTAACTCACACAGAGACACCTTGGAATAAAGGCCTGGCAATCTGCTTCTGAAAGGTCAGAGCCATGAAAACCCTTTGGAGCAGTTCTACTCTGGGGTTGCCATGAGTCAGAATCGACTTGATGGTAACTGTAAATATGGATTTAAGAAGGCTCTGGAGGGTGGCTGTGTCCTTGGGCCACTGCAGGGCCTCCCTTTGGGCCACCAGCTGAGAAGAGGCGCTGTTAAAACAGGCAGCTGTGCGGCTGTTCTTCCCATAGCTGGGCCCACGTGTTCCCTCTTCCTGATATCTACAGCCCTGTATCTGCTTCTCCCCTCACCCACCTGGACTAACCTCTCACGAGACTCACAGTGAGCCTCCTCTCCAGCCACCCTTACCTTCAATTCCTAGTCCTTGTTCTTGCTGCATTCACCTCTAGTGAAATGATACAAATGCTTACAAATTCCAAGAAATACCAGTCTTTGGGAAGTCCCTCACCTGTCCAGGTGAGCCCCTGGTGTCCTGCCGTTACTGAGTCAGTCATGCCTCTCTGTGTATTTCCAAAGCACGTTTCTTGTGCCCCACCGGAACATCTATGTCCACCTGATTATCTGTGTGTATGTGTGCCCCAGCCTCCTGTTCCCGAATGATAAACTCATAAAACCAAAACCAAACCAAAATCAAACCGATTGCCACTGGGGCGATTATGACTCATAGCGACCCTGTAGGACACAGCAGAACTGCCCCAGGGGTTTCCAAGAAGCTGCTGGTGGATTCGAACTAACAACCTTTTGGTTAGCAGCCGAGCTCTTAACCACTGCTCCACCAGGGCTCCATAACCTCCTAAGAGCAAGAATAATATTTTATACATTTCATCGCAGCACCTAAAGCAGGGTTCTCCCTAGAGCAGTTAGTCAACAAATGTTGGCCGAAAGAATGAATGGGTTGATGGGTAAATGGATGGATATATACTTGGGCTGCAGGGCACACAAGGTTTCATATGGAAATGAAGAAACAGAATTTGTAAATGAGCAATTTATATTTGAACTTAAAAGTTAGAGGTGATGAAAAGTTCAGCAACTTGAGAAAGTATTTTCTTACCTAGAGCTGATTAAGCTTAAGAATACATCTGATTATCCCTACCAGAGTAGAAGCCACAAATGAATGGATGGCTATCATGGGACTTTCACTTTAAAGATGATGAGAACAAATACTGTAAGATAAACCTTACTCCGTTGCTGGTAAACTTCTTAATTGGTTCTTCAGAATGCCAGCTCCAAGCCACTCTCCTATTATTCTGAAATGAAGACAGTTTTGATGAATGACTAGGTGCCAGCTTAGCTGCTGCTGAGCCCCAAAGGCGGTTTTGAACAAGTCGCCTCTTCTGTTCCGCTTATTTAATAAATGCCTCAGGTCATAATAATGAAACCCAGCCCTTGCAAGCGTCCTGAAAGGCAGCTTAATCAGGATAGGTGAAAACTACCACAGTTTCTCAAATGTTGAAACAAATAATAAAACCAGCAAGCACAAACCCACAACCACCCTTGGAGAAAGTTGAAACAAAGAATTACTATTTTATTAGCTACTAAATGTCCTAGCAGGTTTCTGACAGAAACATAGATAGAAAATGGAAACAAGTGCCTTCTGGGAAGGTTTCTTGGCTTGCGTTAACCTTGGCAGCAATAAGGCATTGCTTAACAGTCAAAGTGCACCCAGCCATCCCCGCAAACCATGTGGTAAGTGACCGCTGTTCCCAAGGGCTGTTCTCAAGGAGGCAAAACAGATGCAAATGGGTCCGTGTGCCGAGGGTTCTGGCTGAGTGCAGACGAGGCTGCTGGAGCTTCAACAGCCTTTCCCAGGTAAAGACAGCCAGTGAGAGTCTCTGCAGGGTCCCCACCCGACCCCCTATCCCATCGGGCCCACAGGTGCACCACCCGCAAAGCTTTCTTCCAGCGTCCACTTCATTTTCTCCTCTTACCACATTTCATTCTCTCCTCCCACCACATTTCATTCTCTCCTCCCACAACCACTGCAATTAAGATCAGGACCGTATCCAAGCAAGTGCGTTACTACAGTTGCCATCAAGTCGATTTCAATTCATAGCGCCCTTGTGTGTGTCAGATTAGAACTGCACCCCACAGGGTTTTCAACGGCCGATTTTTTTTTTAAAGTAGATCGCCAGGTATTTTTTTCCAAGGTGCTTCCAGGTGAGTTTGAACAGCCAACCTTTCAGTTAATAGCCGAGCGCTTAAGCATTTGCCCCACCCAGGGACTCCTCAAGTGCATTCAAGAGGCCTTTATTGGGAACGCCTGAGAGCGAGCCAACATGGCGGCATTCTGTCTTCCCAGGAGCAATTCATTCAAACCTGTGTCTCAACCTGCAGGATGTAATCAAGGCAGGCCCTGAAGAATTGAAAACATTCAATCGCAGTGTCCTGTTGAGAAACTACTTTCTACCTGCATAATGAAGGGCTGGCTTTGAAGGAATGCAGCCAGCTTAACAGCTAAAACAATAGCATTTACAAAATAACAGAGAAAAACAACCTTTGATATGTTTCGTTGGAAGTGCGCCGTGGTGATTTGCAGAAAGCCTTAGAAGACATGTGAGAGCGTGGCAGAGGGGAGGCTGTAGGTGGGGTGGGGAAGCCTGGGGAGAGGGACCATCAGGAGGTCGGGCGTGGGGGGAATGGGCTTTCAGGAGTTCTAGTACTTTCCTCCATTGTAGAACCTGGGCTAGGATGAAAGCTAAATCCTTCTCTAATGCGGGAGTGTCTTGTTCGGCCTGCCCAGGCTACCTGTGGCTTTGGGTCAGTTTAATTCGGGGACTGCTCTCTCTTTCTCTCTCGATCCCAGAACCTCTTCTCACGTGGCACCAACGATGCACAGACGCCACAGTGAAGAGCTTCCCAGCCCGCTTACTCTCTCCCACGAGCGCAGCCTCCTTTGTGTGACAAAATACAGATTTCAGATGACACTGCAGCTCGACAGACAGCTAAAGACCCTGTGACATTCGGAGGAACTCACCCAAGCCCAAATGAAAGAGATGTCTTTTTTCTTTTCCCACCCACCGCCTCCCAACAGCCAAACAGCTTTTGTTTTTTTTCCAGAGTCACAGAAGGCACAAACAGGTAGCAAGAAGACATCGGTGCTGCGTCTCTGCCAAGCACTCTCTGGCCCTGGGTGAGCCACCTGCCCGCTGCCGTTCAGGTGATGACTGTGGGTCCCCTCCGGCCGGTTCTCTCGTGGATCTGGGATATCTTCAGCGCAATGGCTATGAGGGGGCTCAGCACGGCCTGGAGAAAAAGGGAAGAAACAGCTCCTGAGTTGTCTGTGAACTGAAGGAAGTCAGGGGGACGGTGTTGTGATGGGTTCCTATCACAAACACCTAGATCCAAATACTAATTCACTGCAGCCATCAGAGCTGGTCGCCTGCCTTCTCTGCGCCTTTGCTTCGTCCTCCGTAAAACGAGAATGAAGGAAGCAGGGGACGAGCGGGGAGAAGATGGTCTCCAAAGTCTCAGCCAGGTCTCCCCGAAAATTCATCTAAGACAGGAACTGCACCACCCCACTGCCAAGCAGTTCATGAATACAGCGTTGTGAATTAAGGAGGTTCAGAAAAACCCACAAAGTCTCCCTCTGCTATACACCTATGCGCACACATGCACACACACGCGCACACACACACGGACACGCACACACAGCCTGAGGATAAAGCCCACTCTCCATCTTGAGACCATGGCTTTGAAGAGTGCACCAGTTTTGGTATGTCAGAGGAGACAGGCCAGCTCGTCAGCTAATGCTGTGGAAACGCTGTTATCTCTTCCCGTCACGGAGTGCCGTGGCTCCCTAAGAGGAGGTGGGTTTAGGAGATCTTATGGATTGAATTGTGTCCCCCCCCAAAAAACGTGTTGGAATCCTAATCCCTACACTTGTGTATGTAATCCTGTCTGGAAACAAGGTCTCCATTGTTATGTCAATGAGGCCTTTATTCGTGCAGGGTGGCCCTATATCCAATCACTTCTGAGACACAGCGAAACCTGCGAAAGGCGGAAATCTGTCAGAGAAAGAAAACTCAAATATTTTCCACTAATAGAAAGCAATGGAAAAGTGATAAAACCACACCCTGTTAAAGGCAGAAAACTTGTGAGACCTGGAAAAACAAAGCAGTCCCGTTGGGTTCCGGCTCTCACAGGTTTCACTGTGTAAAGAGCAGCGCAGACGCAGAGAAAAGCAAGCAGACACAGGGAGAAGACAGACGCTATCTGAAGACAAGGGAGGCAGATCCATCTAAAGGCCCAGGAACGCCAAGGATTGCCGGCTACTGGAAGCTGAAATACACAAGGAAGGACCTTCCCCTAGAACCACATGCTGAATTCAGACTTCTAGCCCCCTGGATTGTGAGACAATAAATTTCTGTTCTCAAAAGCCAACCACTTGTAGTATTTGTTTTACAGCAGCACTAGGAAAACCAACAGAGGGCTAAGGAACAGATTCCGGGAAAGACCAAGGACATGCGGAGAAGCAAGAATTATCTCTTGCCCTTTAACTGCTTCTAACTGCACAAGAGTAAGGCACTGTGTCCCAAAGTGTGGAAAACATACCACCTGAGATGATTTTAGATGGCACATGGATGTGGCATTACTTATCAACAGTGAGAAAATCAGTCCACTTTCCATTCTTTTTCAATCCTGATTTCATCAAAGAGAAACTGTTTGCCGCCAGTGTTTAACACTTAAACCAAGACAGAATATGCCTCAAGGCAAGAGTTACCTAGCTAGAATGTAATGTCACTGTTATGTTTTCATTGAATGAATTTTTATGGAGAGCTTGTACTTATTATGGTGAGCTTACACGTGGAGCCCTGCTGGTGCAGTGGTTAAACATTCAGCTACTGACCAAAAGGTTGGCAGTTTGAATCCACCAACTGCTCCCTGGAAACCCTATGGGGCAATTCTACTCTGTCCTTAGGGTTGCTATGAGTCAGAATCGACTAGGTGGCAACAGGTTTGTTTGTTTTTGGTTTTATATTTTTCAAGTAATATTTTTTTTTCCATGTAGAACACTGATAAAAACTTTTCATAACAAATACACAGACTTACGGAAAAATAAAGTGAGTCTATTTAAAGACAAACATAATATGGCGATACTGATAAAAACAAGTTCAGGAAATACTGGGGTAAGGCAGGAAACAAGGATCTCATAATTCAGAAAAATAAAATCCTTATTTTTTTGAAAACATGTTTGGGGAAATACTGAGATAAGGGAGGAAACAAAGATCCTGTAATTCAGGAAAATAAAATCCTTATTTTAGGGGAAAACAAGTTTGAGAAATACAGGGATAAGGGAGGAAATAAGGATCCCACAATTCAGAAGAGTAAAATCCTTATTGTTTTAGGAGGGAGGAAGAGTCTGTTACTGCTACTCTAACCTGTTCCTAACAGATACAGGGATGAAGGGAGCGTATGCATTCTAAGTTGGACAACAAGAGCACAAGCAAATGCCCAGAGCACAAGAAAGCACAGATAGTCAAACGTGTCCTAAATGGAGTGGTGACACAGGACAGTCCTGAGAGATAAGTAAGCAAGCCTTGTTTATTGGGACCTAGATGCCAGGGTGAGGTATAAAGATTCAATTCATTAGGCAAAGGAGATACCGTATTTTTACACAAATAACACGTGCCTTCTGCCTTTGTTTGCCTGTCGCGCCCTCCCCTCCAACAGGTATTTTCTTAAGTGTGCTATGCCTTTTTTTTTTTTTTTTTTTTACAACAACATGTGGAAGAGGATTGGCATGGCAGCACTTGTGAGAGGTTAAATGAAGACAGAGAGAGGAAATTTCAATTTCCTTGGTTGCTTTATTAATGTCTTAAAGTTCCCACTATACTATAAAAAATTTGAAAGTGGACTTATGCATGATTAACTGTGGGTGGAATCTTTTGAAGAAAGATAATCACAATGCCCAACAGTAAGCCCATACTCAAAGAAAAGGTCTTGGACCTATATTAAAAAAAATACAAATGCTAAAATACAATGGCCAAAATACGTATGCATTTCTTTACCTGTTTTTAACCATCTTTCTGGATTAATGAATCAAGCATTTGTCCTGATCATGTCCGAGAAGAGGGCTTCAATGGTAACTATGCAAACCAAAGGGAAGGAAACATACTTTTGGAAATTCCACATTTTGGTATCACCCACTTGTTAGTGTTTGTATACTATATCTTTTCTATTTATCTTTCAGTATACCTAGATCTTCAGATTTAAAGTGTGCTTCTCGTAGACAGCACATAGTTAGGTCTTGCTTTTTTATTCAGTCCAACAATCTCTGTCTTTTAATTGGGGTATGTAGGTCATTTACATTTAATGTAATTATCTGTATGGTAGGTCTTAAATATACTATCTTGCTATTTGTTTTAGATTTGTCCCAATATATTAGAAACGCCTATGATTTGACCAAGGAACAATGAGCAAAGAATTTGAGAAGTGGAGAGGAACCGGTAATGATCTAGTTTTATTCCTTCATGTCACAGATGAGGAAATTGAAGCCTAGAGAGAAGAAGTGATTGGCTCAGGGTCACACTTCTGTTAATGGCTGAGCTGGATAAGAACTTAGTGATTCCTCATCTACAGCTCTTTCCGTCATATAGTTCTGAAGACAAAACCTGTGAGTGACAAGGAAAAATAGGTAAGACAAAATGAGCCTAAGGGGAGAGGTGGGAGAATGGTGGGCTCCTCATTCCACTGTACCCAACAGGTCTACATCAGATGGGGCTGTTGGATAGAACCGACCAACCATCCTCACTACCCAAGAACAGGAGGATAGTGAGAAGAAGAGATATTACTGATTGTCATGGACTGAATTGTGTCCCCCAAAAATATGTGTATCAATTTGGCTGGGCCATGATTTCCAGTATTGTGTGGTTGGCCTCCATTTTGTGATTGACACAATTTTCCTATGGGTTGTAAATCCTAATCTCTGCCTGTGGTTAATGAGGCAAGATTAGATTATGTTAAAGAGGTTTAGGGTGGGATGTGACACCCTTGCTCAGGTCACGTCCCTGATCCAATAATGTAAAGGGAGTTTCCCTGGGGGTGTGGCCTGCACCACCTTTTATCTTACAAGAGATAAGAGAAAAGGGAAGTGAGCAGAGAGGGAAGACCTCATAACACCAAGAAAGCAGTGCTGGGAGCAGAGCATGTCCTTTGGACTCGGGGTTCCTGGGCAGAGAAGCTCCTAGACCAAGGGAAGATTGATGGCAAGGACTTTCCTCATGAGCTGACAGAGAAAGAAAGCCTTCCTCTGGAGCTGGCACCCTAAATTTGGACATGCAGCCTACTAGACTGTGAGGGAACAAATTTCTCTTTGTTAAAGCCATCTACCTGTGGTATTTCTGTTATAGCAGCACTAGATGACTTAGACACTGATTATGTGAATGAACCCACTTCTGTCAAGTCGATTTCGACTCATAACAACCACACAGGGTTTCCAAGGCTGCAAATCTCCGCGGAAGCAGACTGCCACATCTTTCTCCCACAGAGCCGCTGGTGGTTTCGAACTGCCGACCTTTTGGTTATAGGTCCACCGCTTTAATCGCTGTGCCACCAGGGCTTGTGAATGTACTAGAGGTTCCAAATGGACTCTTCATGAATAAGGGGAATCGATTAATAGAGACTTTAATCAATAATGTTAGGAATGGAGAAAATAACATCCTGTACCTAATTCCAGTGCTTCCTAGAGAGCTTGACACAGCTCTTCTACAATCAAGAGTAGGAAGCAGTGAATGCCTGTCTCACTCGAACCCAGCAATTCTCTCACGATGAGGTTCCAGGGTCCTTCCTCCACCTTGGTGGGTTTGCTGGATGTTAGCTCTCATCTCGAGTTATTAAGGGTACCAGGCTGAAGAGGGAGTTGGATCCTGTCTCTGTTTAAAATTTCGATATTTTATCAAGGATTTTTTGCATTAATTTTGATTTTTAAAAATACTGCGTTATAATTTTTATCTTGATTACTGAGTTTTTTGGTGTCCCGTTAAATTGCATGCCTTGCTAGCTGCACCCTGGTCCCAGTTCTGTTTTGGGTATTAACCTGTTCATATTTCCCAGAAGAACAGAGAGACTTCTCCTTTTACTTTCTCTTATGGATTCAATTGTGTCCCCCAGAAATATGTGTTGTAAATCCTAACCTCTATACCTGGTTGGAACCCTGGTGGTGTAGAGCTCGGCTGCTAACCAAAAGGTCAGCAGTTTGAATCCACCAGCCACTCCTTGGAAACCTTATTGGGCAGTTCTACTCT